GAGAGAAGGGGGGCGGACTGGGTCCGGTCACTGAGGGGTCGGGTTTTCCTGGGAGGGGAGAGAAGGTGGAAACTGGGTTCGGTGAGTGCATGTTTGGGAGGTGAGGGAGGGGATGTGTGTGAAGGGGAGACAGGACGTAGGCTGGGTTTGGCTGGAGGGTGTGGTGGGAGTCAAAGAGCCGGAAGGTGAAAGGGGCGCTTTCCTCCTCAGTGCATGTCCTGCAGCAGCGGGCCAAGGGGAGGGGGAGGAGGTGCCAAAAATGTTTTGCTAGGGGCGGCAAAAAACCTAGAGCCGGCCCTGCCTGCTTCTCCCGGTCCCGTCTGGCTCTGCGCTGTCCCTGCACCCTGCTCCCCCTGGGTGGGTTGGGAGTAAGGGGTGCTTGTCCATAGGGAGGGGCTGGACAGGGCAGGGAAAAGGCTGTTGTGACCCAGCAGTGAGTGAAAGGGGAGAGAGAGTTTACTTGAAATGCCTTTGCCTTTATGGAAAAAAAATAATTAAAATTATATTTGCTATTTATAGGGCTAAAAATGCTGGGACAAAAATGAAAACAAAATAAAAAACATTGCAAAGTGGAAACGTGTAAAAGCCAACCAAAAAGAAAGTGAAGGGGGGGGCGGGTGTTTGCTTGGGGTGGCAAAAATCCTAGAGCTGGCCCTGAGGATAGGCAGACTCTAACACAACTTTGCTTCTCCCATGACATGTTACTTGAGTGGGACTGGCTTCAGGTTTGAGGATCAAGGCATAAAAGAAAGCATAAACCATGAAGGCTTAGAGGCCCTACCAAAAAAAAAAAAAAAAACATAATGGGCTTAATTTGTTGTCAAGTGAAGTTAGATAAAGCTTGTTTTGACCCATAGAAAATTCTTTTCTTACAAAACTGTGGTTAATGAGCATGTCCTTGGAATTGAAGACTAAGAACCTCGCTGGTTTGTACCAGGATGTTAGACACTGTTATTGAAGGAAATTTCAAAAGGAGTTTTTATTTAGATTGCAGGCTCATTGAGGCTGGGGATGTGCTCTTAGGTGGGGCCACAAATTCAAACAGCTCTTTATAAAAACAGACTATTTTGTAATAAGTTGAGAGAAATGATTTTGTTCACTGGATCTCTAGACATTACAGATTTGCACCCTCTAGTGGCCAAGATTAGGTTCAAACAAAGGGAAAACAAGATCCAGCATAGGTGTTAAAAGAAAGCTTATGCCCAAGTAAATCTGTTAGCATTTATGGTGCCATAGGGAGCATATGAAAATACTCAGGATGTATTTTCATTACATACATACAACTCCTCATCATTCCTACATACAGCACACCGTATTACTGACCGGCATGATCCTGGCTTTTGTTTAAGGCCTTATACAACACTTTTTATAGATAAATACTATAACGGCAATATATTACCTGTAGTGAGTTTGTCAGGCCTACTAGGGGTTGCTGTTACACAACAGTGAACCCTTTTCCAGCTGGAATTAGAGTTCTGAGATCCGAGTGTAAATATACTCTAAAACCATTTGCATGTAACACTTTAGACTTTACACACACACACACATGCATGCTTAAATTCTCATGCATTGTTCAACTTTTTTCAAAATGTGAATATAATTTTTTTGCCCTTCATTACACTTAGTCAGAAGTATCGTACACAGGCTTTTACGTGGTGGTCTCTAAGATTTGTATTTGTACACCTAACGTCACACAGAAAAATATACGAAGGATTTGTGTGTAGAAAACTGTATTTCTGGGTACAAGATCATCGTAAAGACTATACTATAGTAAAGATTTGTGAATGGAAATCCATTGCTTTTGTTAAAAAGCACAGGCTTAATATGTTCTTTGCTGGATTGGGGCCTGGTAGTATCTAACCTGATATTTGCACACCTGTTAATTCCCACCTGCCTCTCCCCTAACAACCAACATTAAATGTGTAATATCCCTTGTTCTTTCAGGCCATGAGGGTGATTGATGGGTGATTGGGGGGGGGGGAGGGAGAAGGACTGGGTTCTTGCCTGCTGGAGGAGCAATGTCTGAGGGAACAGAATGTATTCAAAACTATTATGCATCATTTAGTGGGGCACTGAGAGGAATAGTGGATAGAAAATTCCTGTTTAAAAAGGGTGATCATTGATATGCGTATCTCGGTTGTGCAAGTAAAGAGAAAAGAGATGATTTATGGGGTGACTTGTTCACAATGTATGAGTGTTTGTATGGGAAAAACATTTTATAACTAGAATTAAGGTGCAAGTGAGATAATTAATCAATGGAAAAATTAACCAAGAGTTGTGGTGGAGGCTTCATATCTAAAAAGTTTTAAATCCAGATGGCATGTTTTTTTCTGAAAGATATACTCTTTCAAATAGGAATTAATTCACATAAGCCCTATGGCCCGTGTTACACAGGTGATCAAATTAGGTAATCACGATGTGCACCTCTTGTCCTTCTAATCTAGGAATTTCATTCCCTAAGACAGGGGTTCTCAAACTTTGTGATACTGCGGGTTGCTTGCAACCCCCCTGGAGGGTAGGGACCCACAGTTTGAGAAACGCGGCCCTAAGGGTTCAAACTGGCAATTCCTTGGGGAATAAACTGAGCCCACAGCAGCTGCTTCTGCAAACACTATAGCAGTGGGCTGTGCACAGTTTAAAAAAAGCTGCTGTTTCTTTAAGCAGAAATTGTTGTGAAACTATTTGATACAATCTTTAAATGTCTCAGTGCTTTCATTGAGAGAACATTTGACACAGCATCTTATCACACTGTGCTTGCCCATGGCATATTGCTTTACACAGTAACAAAGATATAACCCAGCAAAACATTTTTTGATCAAAGGTTCTCCTAGGTAGGCTGCCATTATTCATTCCGAATAAGCACGGTGAAATAGTTGGCTCTTTGCCTCGTCTGCCCCCTCTACTCCCACCACTCCATACCTTCTTTTCAACATGGTGGATGTGAACAATTAAGCAGGCTTGATCACTCATTTGGAACCTAATGCTGCCACCTGCACCCACAGAATCATAGTAGTCCTTGTTGATGGGCTTGCTGGCACAGAGCAATGTGGCCGGCCGTTGAAGCCCTGATGACTACACAGGCTACACTTGTAGTGGGGCAAGTTATGTCATGCCATTGCAGTACATTCTGTGGGCATAAGTCATGGGAATGACTTCAGTCTACTGCACTTCTCCCTCCCCCCCCCCTTTTGGCCTCACAATTCAGAAAGGCCTACAGAGATACTAGAAGTTCTTTCATTATAAAGCCTTGAGTGGCTGTGTCTCCTCATAGTGGCTGGGAATGTTCTCATGCTGTCCTTGGGATTACCACTCTTGTCCCAAAAGGATGCTGTGGGTTACCAGACTATTTGTGTCCTATGTGAGCTGTCATGTTCCTTGCGTGAATGCAGCTAGCAGGGCAAACTGCTGCAGCTGTGTGCACTGCACAGTTTAAAACACTTGCATTATACATCCACTGCTGACCTAGCGTCTATGAACAGTGACTGTGTAACCCCATCGCTTTCTTGCGATGCCTCCCTCGTTTGTATATTGCAATATGCTGTGCCAGACCAACAATGTGCAGGCTGCTCTGGGCTGGGTGCATCTCCACAGGATTCCCTGCAACTCAGAGCTGGCAAGTCGAGTCAAGTGACTCACTACATGACTACTGTGAATTTCATGCTCCTGCAAAACCTACTGCACTGGTATAGTGTGGATGGATTTGGTCAGAGTGGGGTACTAGTCACTACAAGTACAGGTGGCAGGACTGACCTAGTTAGAGCTCTAAATAACTGATTGGTTGGTTTGTTTGCTGGCTGAATCAAAGAAGTGGTGCTGAGGAGAATTTTTGTTTTGGGTCAAATAAGATGTTCTGTTTTGAGCTTAATCTTTTAAAGTCAGCAAAATTAAAAATTAAAGTCTTTTCTAATTGAAACATAAAAATGTTATTCTGAAAAATTGATGTTTTTGATTCTTTCCGAATTTTGTTGTTGTTGTTTTTTGAGGGAACAGATATTTCACACAATATTTCAGTTAATCTGAATCTGTATTTTTGGGCAAAAAATGTTTTGGGCAAATGGTACCCAGATCTACTACTGGTGTGACTAGGATAAGATACAATGCTTATTATTTTAATAAGGGACTCTAACAAATGTTTCCCTTTAGTGTTTGATTAGCCGTGTGTGTGTGTAAATAAAAATAGAGGGAAAGGGGGAGGTTTTTAGGTCTGAAAGATCTGTTTGCTTTTTTCGCATTTAAACAAAAATACTTTATCAAAACAATAACCAAAGAATGAGTCAACATGTGACAATTAAATTCTGTTAAGTCTATTCTGTATGAGAAATGTATTCAATTTGAAATCTGTTGTTTGTTGAAACTTAGTAAGGGAATGATTTTTCTTGGGCAAAATATCGAGAAATATTTAAATACAGGGAGTGGAGCAATCTGGTGCATTCCAGTGTCAAGAAAGTTCTTGGCAATCTTATGATCAATGGAGATGATTAAATATCCAGGAATATGCAGCAACTACATCAGAATCAGATAATTTCCCACTGAAGGAGTTTTTCTCAAGGTCAGAGCATCACTGATCCTTGAGAATTATATTAAAAATTGGCTAATACAGTACCAGGAAAGCAGTTTTTTTTTTTTACGTTACTGTAGAATAGGCAAAACATACCTCATGATTTTGCTTTTTGAGTGAAGTCAGAAGTCCATATTTCAGGTTAAGTGACTTAGGAATAGTACTTAAAACACAATAAAAAATGAACTTCAGTCCCCTTACACTTGCAGGCTTGAAACAGAAAAGCACTCCTAATACATGAAAGTATAACAAGTATTTGTAATCTCCTATGTCATGTGCTTGTTGTCTCTCATTGTTACTTTCTTTTTAAAATGCAATTATCTATACTTTTTTGAAGAATTTTTGCAAATTGACAAGACAATGCTTGAGGATCGCATTTGAATATAACCCCCTTTTAAATGTTTCTTTTTTTATGTATATTTCACTTTCGGTACTACTTCAGCTCTACAAGATTCATCGTGATGAGAAGTATGCAGGAGACAATTCACAGGCAGGTTAGAATATGATCATTTATCTCTATACACTTTATTTTTTAAAAAAAAGAGGCCAGATGCTTCACTGGTATAAATCCGTGTAGCTCCATTTTGTTCAGGCTAGTGATGTTACGTTATCTAAGGAACTGGCCCATGACTCATCTGAGGCCAGGTGGCACTGCACTGCTAAATTACATGTATCCCTAAGAACAAGTTTTGAGTAATAGTCTCCATTTCTATAGTCTCTTTATTTTATGACATAGAGCATTTAACCAGTGCTCAGTGTTAAAATACAACAGTTGTAGTTAATAGTGGGTCAGAGGTTCAGTTGGTATAAATTGGCATAGATCTGCTGCCTGAACTGAAGGGAGTTATTCTGATTTATGCCAATGGAGGATTTGGCTTAGTGCCTTCCAAATTAGGACCATTAAAGGATTGGAAGAAAAAGCAAATGGGTCACCTAAAATGTGTCTATGTATGGCTGACTCTCCTCTAAAGAGCTAGTTCTGGTGTGTTCTTGGTGTTGAGAATGAGATGATGTTGAAAACCGGACTGAAAGTTGGGAATTCCTGCTTTCTAATTCCTAATCCAATGTTGATTCCTTTGCATTCCTGAGACTTCCTACCCCATATCATGCTGTTTGGTTATAAGACAAATTATATTAATTTTAATTATTTTCCAACCTTCCTTTTATATCATTTAAGGGCAGCTAAAATTAATAATGCAAAAGAGTAAAATGCATTGATTATGCAGTTAATTGTAATTTACATGCAAGTAAGCAACATATATAAAATGTTACAGGGAAGAGGGAGAAAATTGTTTGTTAGCACTTGAATAGGACAAGGAACAATGGGTTTAAATTGTAGCAAGGGTGGTTTTGATTGGACATTAGGAAAAAATTCCTAACTGTCAGATTGATTAAGCAGTAGAATACATTGTCTGGAAGCTGTGGAATCTCTGTCATTGGAGACTTTTAAGAGCAGGTTAGACAAATGCTTGACAGGGATGGTCTAGATAACACTTAGTCCTTCCTTGAGTTCTGGGGACTGGGCTAGAAGACCTCATGAGCTCTCTTCCAGTCCTACAGTTCTGATTTTGTACATGTAGTTGTCTTGCAGAAAGTGGTCATGTTCAAATTCTCAGCCGAAAGTTTGTCACAAAAGTTGGTCAATGTATCCTAGCATCTAGGGATGCACCATTAGAGTATAAAAGTATTTTATCTAAAACAGCAGGGGCACAAGATCAACCCGTTTTAGGGTTTAAACATCTTTTATTGATCTAAATGTTCTGCCGTGTTAACCAGATACGGGTTTTTTACCCTTTTTTCTGTTCTTCTTTCTTACGTTCTTATGCTTCCATCATCACTGGAGTTTTTGGGTGTAGTGTCTGAGCCTTTTCTTACTCCCCAAAGCATGGTGTGGTGTTGCTGTGCACTATTAAACACCACCCATGTCTCATTTAGACTATGGTCACTGTTTTCCTGTAGTGGTTGAAGTTATGCCTTATCTACTTTTTTCAGGATGTCTATTAATATTTGTAACACCATTGAGATCTTTATGGTGTAAGATAGTAGTAATAATAATGTTTGCAATTTTCTGTTCCCATTAAATCATTACTAATAGCAGTGATTATATGTTGTGTGATGCTGCTTCTTCCTGACACTATGTTCTTATAATAAATGTCATCCTTCATCTCATCTTTCCTTTACTGGCTATAGCATCTGGGAAGGGGGGGAAGATGGGAATGGCTGTGATTCAAATTGTGGAATGCTGAAATGGTCATCATGTTTTACAGCGTCTGATACATTTTGAAAACATCCTCTCAGTGAAACACAGCTCAGTGAGAACAGGAAGACACTACATGAAGTCATGTTGGTGACTCTCTGGAGTACAGTGAAAATAGAAAATCTTGATGTACTCATGATTCCTTGAAAATGTACCTACAGTTGGAGACATTCCAGTCACCAAGTCATAAACAAATCTTCATGTCTTATTCAACGGAAGTTTTCTATTAAAGCTGTTGCTTTGTATAAAATCTTCTATATGTACTGTATCTACTCAGGAGAACAAGACACTGGGACTGGTCTACACTACCATGGAAAAATGATCTAATTTATGCAACTTCATTTATGTGAATAACTTGACTGAAGTCAACGTTATTAGATTCACTTACCACGGTGGCTACACTGTGCCGTGTTGGTAGGAGAATGTCTGTGGTCGACTTCCCATAGGCTTCGCAGGGAGGTGGAGTATACAAATTGATGGGGAGTATACTCTCCCATTGATTTTAACATGCTTTTACTTGACCCACTGAACCAACACTTGCTGCATCGATTGCAGATGTGCCAATTTACCAGCAAGTGAAGACAAACCCTGATAGTTAAAGGTAATGCTGTGCAGTCTTCCTCCACCAAAATCACCATTGCATTTCAAACTTGGCCTGTAAGATCATTACTTACTTCACTCCATTACTTCATCACACAGCAGAATTTCTTATGAATCTTGACAATGGTCATCTTGCTCTCATGTGAGCACCTACTTCATTCTCCTAAAAAGTGAGACTAATGCTTCCCACACCTCCTTGCAGTGACTTGACTTTATATTGGCTCCTATTTCTTGCTTTGGGATGTTTATGGTTCTGTGCCAACAAATCACACTTTTGCCACATTACTGTGCCATAAGGATATTCCAATTTAAAGTTTGATAAATTTTGAAGTATGTTATTAACCTATTAGCAAAGACTTTAATTGAGGGCATGGGAGGGGGGTAAACAGAATACTGATTTTCAACCTATTTTTAAAAAAGTGTGGCATTTGTAGCCATTCAGCCTCAGAATTGCTCTTCTCCCCTCTGCCCCTCCTGCCCTTCCTCCCCCTGCCAACCCTTTGGTTGGGTTATAAGCATTTTGGTCAGAATACAACATCAGGCTGAATACATCACTAGCTGAGTAGTCTCAACTCCATTGAGTTTGCTAGGTGCTCTTGCTAACCCCAGTGATGAATCTGACCATTATTTATGATTATGTATATTTTGTTAGAACCTAAAGGCTTCTGCCAGGTTGCACTAGGCATTGTATGGACATATAGTAAATGGTGGTTCCTGCCCCAGTTGAGTTTACAGTCTAAGGCCTAGCCTGCACAGGGTTGCTTGAACTGAAGCATTTGTGTAGTCCCACGGAAGTTAATCGGATTACTCAGGCTATGTCTAGACTACAATGATCTATCGGAAAAAGGTATGCAAAATGTGCTCTGCAATTTGCATACCTTTTTCCGATTAGTTTTTTCAGAAGTGGCTTTTCCGAAATTTGGCCTATCTATATTGTGTCAAATTTCAGAAAATCCTTCTCTTTCAGAAGAGCCCTTCTTCCTTGTGAAAGGAGGAAGACCTCTTCCGAAAGAGCGTGTCTGCTCTTCCGCAAAAAACGCGGAAGAGCAGATGCGTTCCCAGGACGCAGCAGGGTTTTTCCAGGATACCTCCCAGAAAAACCCCGTAGTCTAGACGTAGCCTCTGATGTTCAAAGATAAGCACTTGAATGAGTGCATGCAGGACTGAGACCTAAAGACAAGACATTGCTCACCGATCTTTTAAGCAGGTGGGGAGGAGGAATGGTGGTGTAGCCGCATACGCTATTTTCAGGTGTATAGGGCAGTTGGTAGCAATTGTCACAATCGGAAGCAAGAATGGAATAGAGAAGCTGGGATCTTGGTCCCTCAGTTCAGCTCAGTAAATTCAGGAGAATGAATTTCAAACTTTCACCACTGTGTGCCTGTGACAAAGGCTATGTCTACACTGCACAGTTTTTTCGGAATAAGCTATTCCGGAATAGTTATTCTGAAATAGCTTATTTCAAATTAGCATGTCTACACTGCAGGGAAGCCTCAAAATTAGTCCGAGGCAGGCTTCCCGAATGTGGACGGACTATTTTGATTTAGAGGGAAGGAATAACTTAGAATGGCCCTGGTTGAGGGCCAATTTTGAAATAGCAGAAGTGGATCATCTACTCCACCCCTATTCCAAAATTATTTTTTTCGGAAAAGGCGTTATTCTTCATAGAATGAGATTTACAGAAATCAGAATAATCCTCCCATTATTTCAAAATTGTTTCAAAATAACGCAATTGCTGTGTAGACGCTTGCATAGTGGGGATTGTATTCACCGCTTGCTTTATGTTGTATGTGATTCCTACTGTCCTGTACTGTTCTGTTGTAACCCCATGTGTGTGCCTCAGTTTCCCTGGGTACTGCACTGGTACCCGGCTGGTGATGGGAATGTTGAGTGTGGCTCTTACCGAGGGAGAGGCTGCCCCAGGCTTCCTCATCTTAGCACATACACAACAGTAGCTCAGGCTCTCTTGTAATCTGAGCCTAGATGGAAGATTCAGTCAGGTGATACTTTTGCCTCAGGAAGCTGGACAAAAGAGGAGGTGGGGCTGCCTGCAGGGCTGGGACCAATTGCTGAGAGTATGAGTTGGGCTCAGCTGGCTGAGGATGTAGGGAGGGCGCCCAGGGCACTGGCTCTGGGCTCTATGGGTTGTACTGATTGCTTCTGTTCCTGTGCTAACAAGTCTGTTCTACGCTGTGTCCCTGTGAACCAATACACCTTCTGTTCTACCTGTTGTCTGAGTCACATCTGACTGCAGATGGGGGTGCAGGGTCTAGTGAATCCCCCACACTCAGTGACCGTGAAATAAGAGAAAAGCTTTGTCACCTTCTTGTACAGGAAATTTGGGGATTTTAAAGTAACTTTGGACCTTTAAGGGGAAAAGACTACTCTCAGGGCTTGTCTGCACTTGACATGTTACAGTACCAGAGATGCAGTGCTTCAATGAAAACATTACCTACGCCAAAGAGAAAGGTTCCCCTGTTGGCATAGGTGATTCACCTCCCCAAGATACAATAGCTAGGTCAATGAAAGAATGTTTCACCAACCTATTGCTGTCTGCACTAAAGATGAGGTCAGATTAACTGTGTAGATTTTTCATGCCTCTGAGGATTGTGGCTGGGTCGATTTAACTTTTTAGTGCTGCTGAATCACAGCACTTAGGAATGCTCTAAGACAAACTTTTGATCAGTTTTAGTCACTTTATAATTTTTACTATATTATATAGTTTGCTTTTCTTTAAATTCTAAAACAGTTTAGTGAAATCTTATACCATGAATCTTCCAACCAATAGTACTGTGTATATTGCATATTATGTCTTTATACTATTTTATGTTCACATTAAATGCATGCCTCCAGAATCACATGAAGTTAATGTCAATTTCATGATATTCCTAATCCTTTAAATTATGATTAGCACTTCTAAATAGTTCTCTGGGTCTCTGACTTGCAATTCTAGAATTTTACCAGATTGGCATTTTGAGATTATACTAAGGCATGTAAATTGTATCTGGGTTTGATTTTACTTTTTTGTACTATTTTTTTTTTTTTGGTCTGATATGAGATGTTCTCTTGTCAATATTAGGAGTTGTGGTTTTGTTTGTTACTAGTTGATTGGATTGTTTTTAATCACTGTAAATTAATATTTAAATTTAAAACCATCAATTTCAGGTCAGTGGCAGGAGAGTTTTCTGGTTACAGAACATGACTAGCAATCAGGAGACCAAATAGCTTGTCTTACATGTGCAGCAACTTCTTGAGTGATATTGGGCAAGTAACTAAGTACTAGATTTCAAAGATATTTAGGCACTTAAAGAAGCAAGCAGATAAGCTTATTGGGATTTTTAAAAATGCATAAGCACCTAATGCCAATTGATTTTGAGGTATTAATTGCCATGGGGCAGATTTGTAGAAGAATTTAAACCAACTCCCATTGACTTTAATTTAAGTAGCCCCTGAGCAATTTTGAAAGTCTCTCTGGGCACTTCTCTGCATCTTTAGGTGTTTAAATTTATTTTAAAATCTGGCTTTAATCTGTCTCTTCCTCCATTTATCTGTTAAATGGAGCTAGAAATATCTCACTTACTCAAAGGGGGCACTGAAGATAGCAAGCTTTGGGATTTTCAGATGGAAGGGGCAATAATGGAGCAGTGAATTTGTATTGCCATTTTAAACTTTTCATTTGGTATTTCTAGAATCCCACTCCTTCAGATGCAAGAACAGGAGGAAAGAATCAGTTGATGTCAAATCAATAACCTCTCGAAGCAGTGATGGTAAGAAAATAAAAATCTGAAAAGAATACCGTTAGAAATACAGAACACAAGTGACCTGAGCAATCAAAATACAGAGTTAAACAAAAAGAGGACAGATGCACTGAAAAGCAGCAGCATTCTTCTCAGCTACTGAGACATGCAACCTGTTTCTAACATTTTTGTTATCCATTTATGTTGAATGTGACGTACTTCCCCAAACAACAATAGACGCTACCTTTGCAGCATGATCATGTACAGCCTGCAGGAAGGTGCGGTGTGGCTGTGCTAGAGCTGGGGTAGGAAAGTTCTGGAAGAACGCATGATGGAATGCCAGCTCTATATCTTTCAAAGGGGCAGCTTGTGCTCCTCCTATACTTGATCAACTTCACTGCCATTTCAGGAGGGGACAGGGTCTTCAGCTTGCAGGGGCCTGTCCTGCTACTGGCTAAACTCAATTTTCTACCTCTCTGTAGCTGGCCTTTGTGATGAGATGTGAGGATGGTGATGCTAACGGCTTCTTTTACAATCTCTGCTCATGTGGATATGCTCCCAAACCATCATTGCTCACAGAGATCTAAGAGACTGGTTGCAGTCAGGCAGAGTTTGGGAGTTCAGGGTGTGAACAGACTAATGGAGGGTTGAAAGAAGAGCTAAACTGTCCTAAGGCAATTTTAACTCTGAAGGAGAGTATCCACAAAGGGATTTAATGTGGTTAACTAGTCCATTTAAATTTAAATGAATTCAGATTAACTTTCCTGGGCATTTCTAGGTAAGCCCCTAATAATGGGAACCAGTATATTCAAGAGAATCAGCTGTAATGATGGTGGTAGTGGCTTTTGATAGCTTCCTGCTTGGACCCTTCCGTGCAAGGCATTTAAGCAACTTCGAATGCCTTGGTTAGCTACGGGCATGTTTTGTTATGTCATTCCCAGATATAGCCTCTGTGTGCCAGTGACCCCTAGGGTTCTCTCATTTAAATGTGTTCCATGTTATGTGCAGTGTCACACTCTAAATCTGTATGTTCTATGCAATGGCAGCACCAAGTTTACAAAATCGTCGGTATTCATCAATGGCAAGAATCCACTCAATGACAATAGAAGCACCCATCACAAAGGTAAAATAATATATTCCTAATTGCTGCTGAATGTGACAAACTCAGGGTTTGGTACTATATTTGCAGAAAAATATGTGGGTGTGTTTACAACAAAGGGACTGTGTAAATTGTCTCTTTCCATTTTATTTACTCTGTTATAACTATCCTGTTTGGCGCGCTCCTTCTGAATCTGGGGTGCAGAACCTTTTTTGGGTCAGGGGCCACTGACCCATGGAAAAATCAGTTGGGTGGTGCAGGGAGTCGGTAGGGTGACTGGAGTGCCAGTGTGGGCTCTCCAATGCTGGGAGAGACCCTAAGCCTTGGGGGCTAGACATAGACAACCCAGTGGCTGCACGTTGGCCTTCGGTTTCCCACCCATGCTCTAAATCATAGCCCTGAGAGAACATATGTGTGGCCCCTGTGCTCTCTTCTTGTTAGATTGAGAGCTATTTAGAAAACCGTAGCTTTGCATCCACAATTACAATGCTTGAGTTCTGGCCTGGATTTTTTTTATCCGGACACTTGTGTAATCTCAGAGTTTATTGGGTCTCAGCAGTCTTCTAGCATTGCCACCCATTAGTCTTCATATAAAATACTTTGAGCCCAGACACAACTTTTAGGCTCGGCATTGACCCTTTTCTTTGCACATGCTCCTGCCCCATAGCAAGTCAAAGCAGCAAAACAATGTTTTGTTTTTGTTTTGTTTTTTCCTTTGAAGCAATCTGGTTTCACTCTTCCTTCCCATGCCTTTAGGTTATTAACATCATCAATACTGCTCAGGAGAACAGTCCTGTCACAGTAGCAGAGGCTTTGGACAGAGTTTTGGAAATCTTACGGACCACAGAACTTTACTCCCCTCAGCTAGGTACCAAAGATGAAGATCCTCATACAAGCGATCTTGTTGGAGGCCTGATGACGGTGAGTAAGAAAAGAAAATGTAAACCTATCAACTGCTCTGACATATTGGGTCTTTCTTCCACCACTGGGGCTAGAAAATCCTTGCATCCATCTGGCTGACTGAAGGTTTGTCAGGGTGCCTGTACTTTCAGGGGGGATGTGTCTGCAGTTCAGTTTGCTTACTTGTCTTGCGTTTTGGCCACACTGGGAAAGTTGACCTGACAGGCACCAGTAAACATGAAGATAGTTACTATTGCTGTTTTTCAGTCAGTTAGCATGGCTACGCTGCTGCTGTTGCCTGAATGACTCTTTAATTCCTTTGGAAACTACTTACATGGGTAAACTAATCTATAGTATCCCACGTTCCTGAGAGCTTTTAATGTTACCCAATTACTGCACTGCAATTAAACTGAAAAATTATTGCACCCCTGGTGCAGTCAGCGTCTACCTCAGAACTGTAAAAATGAGCTTTGGTGTGTTAACGAGCCCTTGTTCCAATCCTTTTACCAGGCCCAGACTGCCCTATACACCAAATCTGCACTGGATTTTCATAGGGAAATATCTGGAGCCCTCCTACCAGTGGTATTTAATAATCCGAGTCTGCTTATAGACCCATGTCATTTAAAAAGGAAATCTTGCACTTACTGCAGGTTGCACCTCCCTTAAGTGGGACACTCTGGTCTGGCAACATCCATGGTCTAGCACAACTATGGATATTCCTGGACCGCAGAGCCCATGAACAGGGAGATCTGGCAGTGGGGCAGGAGCGCGATAGGAGAGACCAGCTACTCAGCTGGGAGCCCAGTGTGTGTGGGTAGGAGAGGGGGTTACATGGTGGGGAGCTGCGACTCCAGCAGTGGCCATGGACCTTCGGCCCAGTCCCTCCTGGGGCTGTAGAGCCCCAGCTGTGGACCCAAATGCCTGCAGAGCTCTGGCCTCAGCTGCGGAACTACCACTCCAGTCCCAGCAACAGCGGGGCCAGCAGCAGCTAGAAAGTCCCGGGGATGGAGCCAGGCTGCCCTACTCTGGTAGCAGCAGGGCAGCCTGGGCCATGAGGAGAAGGACCTCCCTTGGTCCAGCAAATCCCATCATTCAGGACTAGTTAGGTCCCCAGGGTGCTGAACAAGAGAGGTCCAACCTGTACTTTAATCAAATTTTGTAACTCCAGGGAAGTAGAGTTGAAGCATCCAAGTCCTTTGGCAGATACTTAAACCTCTATATTGGAAGACCGAAAACAAGCATGGTACTTGAAGGACTCACTAAAACATGACCAATATTTTAGGTACTTAGGGTTCATTCCAATGGGGAAAGTGATTTTATCCTTGATAATTGTTTCCTACAGTTTATAACATCTTTCTTTCAGGATGGCTTGAGAAGACTGTCAGGAAATGAGTATGTGTTTTCTAAGAGTAAGTTTCCATGTTCAACTTCTTTTACCTGTGTTGTGTTTTACTGGCTACAAACATTGCTTTAGAATTCCAAGCTAGTTTGCGGTTTATTTGTCTTTGAAAATGGTAATCTGAGAGCAAGTTTTAGAACATCTCCTGTCTGAAACTGATTCAAGTAATCAACATCTTGTATCTGATAAATATACAAACCAGACTGGAAAAAAATTTAAAAGAAAAGTGTTCACAAAACAAATGGAACTGTAAAAAGCCAACATTTGATTTGTTGGCTCTTCTGGGTTTGTCTACACCAGTGGTCACCAACCAGTAGATCAAGATCTACCAGTTGATCTTGGAGCCTCTAATGCAGGGTTTCCCAACCTATGGGTCGGGACCCAAATATGGGTTGCCATTACATTTCAAGAGAGTTGCCAGGTGTCTCCCCAGGTGGCTCTGCTCCTTGTCTCTCTCTTCCCCCCTCCCCCCCCCCCCCCTCTCTTTTTTTGTCTTCCTGAATTGTCAAAATGGGTCCCCATCTGGAAAAGGTTGGAACGGCTGCTCTAACGGGTGATCCTGACTGGTTTGTCCAGGAAGCTATCCAGTGCTGGCACTTCAGTTGTTCCTCCACCCACTGTCATACTGCTGCATACTCAGCCTCCCCAAGAGCCTCCTGCTTGCTGTGCAGGGTGTGGGAGAGAGAAGGGGGGGGGAGTGTTGATGTCAGGGTGTCCCTCCTTCCCCCCACTTCTGTACCCCATCTCCACAAAGAGAGAAGGGGATGGAGGGAGCTTAGCAATACAAATCTGTCACTCACGCACTGTGTGTCTCTGTCATTCTCACAAACACACACTCTCATCTCTCATTGTTACTACTTTTACTGATTGTAAAATGTTGTTTTTTGTTTTTGACTGATCTGTGCATTTCATAATTTTCATTTCTCTCTTATGCTTAAATTTAATTCTTTGAGTAGTGAGTTCTAAAATGCCTACCCTGTTGTGGCTGGAATCATTGTCCCTAAGGTAATTGCTGCTCCTGGAAGTGTCTGGCATGTCCCTGCAGCCCCTGAGTAAGACAGGGCAGAGGGTCTCCACGTGCTGTCCTTGCCTGCAGACACCACTTCTGCAGCTCTCATTGATCAGTAATGGGGAACCGTAGCCAGTAGAAGCTGTGGACTCAGTGCCCTGTAAATGAGAGGCAGCACATGGCACCATGGACCACTGCTGTACATGTCAGATGCTTTCAGGAGTGGTGCAGGGCCAGGGCAGGAGTAAGCCTGCTTAAACCCCAATGCTTCGCCACCTGGAAGCAGTCTCAGTTAAATGGTGGCCAGCCAGAGCCTGCTTCCTGAAACCCTGTCCCAGACCTGAACCACCTCCTACACCCAACTTACCTGCCCCAGATATGAGTCTCCTGCACCCAAACTCCTTCCCAGAGCTTGCACCCTGAAACTCCTCCTGGACCCCAATCCCCCACCCTGGGCTAATCCCAGAGCCCCTCCCACACTCCAACCCTTTGGCCCAAGTCCAGAGCCTGCACCCCAAACCCCTACCCCAGCCTGGTGAAAGCGAGTGAGAATGGAGGAGAAAGGTGGAGAGGGAGTGAGCAAGATAAGGCCTTGGAGAAGGGGTGGAGCAGGGGCAGGGCCTCAAAGAAGGGGTGGGAAGGAAGCGGGACAAGGGTATTTGGGTTTGAGGTAGATATTATATTGCACTTAAATTGAAAAAGTGATCCTGTGGTTAAAAAGGTTGAAGACCACTGGTCTACACTTATATAAAAACTACTATAACTGAAGTTTCATAAAAATCATAATTAATTTTATTCCCAAATTCCATTTTCAGACATGAACCAAAGCCACAGTCACCTTTCAGTGCCAGTTACCATCAACGATGTGCCGCCTTGTATCGCACAGTTACTTGATAATGAAGAAAGCTGGGACTTCAATATTTTTGAGGTGGAAGCTGTTACCAATAAAAGGTATTTGACTGCTTTCTGTACATACCCATAAATGAAGCTGTCATGTGAACTATGGCACAAAGGAACCCTGTGATTTCCCCTATTTATTTTGTCTTCAGGCCTGGTGAAAGGCCGTGAGAGACCCTCCCTTGGGTGGGTGTGTGTGCGGGGGAGTGAGGGGGGTGTTCACTTTGCAAAGTCAATATGCTGTTTCCAGAAATAAAGTGCAGCTGGCCAGAAGGAATCAGTGCGCTCATACTAAGGGTACAGACACTTCACCCAGTCTTTTCTGTCTCTCAACACCCACAGACCTACAGGATTCTTTCCTCATCAATTAATCTTGTCTCCTACATGCTCTGATTCACTCTTCCAATAAACATTGTTTGGAATGCTACACTGCCTTTACCATCTACATACTCCCAGAATCTCTTTATCAACTGCTCCAGAAAGGATTTTCGGGCATATTTTGTTTAAGGCTGGTCATGATCATGCAGGAAACAGCAAATCCCATTAGAGGAGGCTCTGGGACAGGGTTTAAAAAATAGGTGGAGTGGAGAGAAAGGTACTGGGCTCAATAGCTTAATAGATTTTTTTTTTTAAGGGGACTGTTGGATCATCTAGTCCATGTAACACAGATCATGCAGTTTTACCCAGCTAGCCTATGGAGCTGAATAATTTGTGCTTCACTAAGGATGCCTTCCAGAAAGTCATGTTGAATTAACTGTGATGCAATAAATGGTAAATGTTAGCTTAACCTTGTCACTGTACAACACTATGAACAGTTAAACATAGCTCACGATTTCCAGATCAGAGCTTCAACCTGCTTCGTTCCCTGTGAAAACATATCAAGTAACATAAACCTTGGAAATAGGAGTGCGGGGTTGGGGTGGGGGCAGGGGCAGGCTTCAGCACTCCCAGGCTTTGCACCTAGTGAGGGTCCACACTGAGATCCCAGCTGCCAGGATCCCCCGGGATTCTGACCACCAGCCCTGCTGCTGCCCCAGGATTCCGCTGTCACTCGGTGTCCTGATTGCTGGGCTCTGCAGCTACCCCTCACAGTAGCCCCAGCCTGGGGTGGACAGAGGCATGGGCAGAGATAAGGGAAGGGCTTAGTTCAGCACCTCCCACATTAAAAATTGTTCCAGCACCACTGTTAAGCTTTTTAATCTTTCTTTATAGAAAAAGGAAAAAACTGAGAGCATTTAAAATGTAAACTACAGGCAGTCCCCGGGTTACGTACAAGATAGGGACTGTAGGTTTGTTCTTAAGTTGAATTTGTATGTAATTCGGAACTGGCGTCCAGATTCAGCCGCTGCTGAAACTGACCAGCAGCTGACTACAGGAAGCCCAGGCAGAGTTGCTCTGCCCCGGGCTTCCTGGAATCAGCCTCTGATCAGTTTCAACAGGCTGAATCTGGACACCAGT